AGAAATTACTTGCCAAAAAAAAAAAAGAAAGAAATTACTTGCAAGCTGGGTGTGGTTGCTCACGCCTGTAATCCCAGTGCTTTGGGAGTCCAAGGTAGGAGGGATATCACTTGAGCCCAGGAGTTAAAGACCAGCTTGGTGGCATAGCAAGACCCCATCTCTTAAAAAAACAAACAAACAAAAAAAAAAACATGGGCATGTGTATTTCCAGCTACCTGAGATGCTGCGGAGGACTGCTTGAGCCCAGGAGTTAGAGGGTACAGTGAGCCATGATCATGATCATGCCACTACACTCCAGCCTGGGTGACAGAGTGAGACCCTGTCTCTTAAAAAAAAAAAGGAATTACTAACAAACTAAAAAAAATCCCTTATAATTTTGTTTGTAATGCCTAAAGTGCTGATAATTTTTTTTCTAAGAATTCTTTTCTGTGACCTTTATTTTCTGAGTTATAATATTGTCTGCTTTTATTTGGGGGGGAAAAAAAAAAAGAGTTTTCCAGGCTGTGCTGTTAGAAAAAAAAAAAAAAATGAGTTTAACCACAGAAATGCATGTTACATATTTTGATTTTTACTTAATCGTAATATGTAATATATGTCTTGTTTTGCTTTTACATGTTTTCAGCTACTACTTATACATGTGTGATAAAGTGGTTGCCCCCAATGTGTCGCTTACTTCTGCTGTATCCCAGTCTAAAGAGCTCACAAAGACAGAGGCAAGTAAGTCCATATCAAGACAGTCAGAGAAGGCTCACAGTAGTGGTAAACATCAAAAAACGGTGTCTTATCCAGATGTCTCACTTGAGGAACAGGAGAAAATGGATTTAAAAACAAGTAAAGAATTATGTAGCCGTTTAGGTAAGTATTCAGAGATTATCTTTCTAAAATTAAATACCTAATGAACACATTTACTCAGCATTTTCAAACAGGCTTTTTGTTTAAGCTAAATTTTCAGATAATTGGAGCTTTTACCTTTAAAAATGCTACCCTTCAAAATTCTTTTCTTTTAATCACAGTTGCTATACTTTTGTAGTATGGTGCTAGCTCGAGAGACTGAGATAGGCTACTTGGCCTAAGACTGCAAGTTATTTTTGTCTGAATATTTTTCTTTCCTACCTTTTATTTGCTGTCAGATTTCTTTAGTAGATCCTTGTTTTTCTTTCGTCCTTTTTTTTTTTTTTTTTTTTTTTTTTTTTTTTTTTTTTTTTTTTTTAGGCTGGAGTGCAGGGTTGGGGTCATGGCTCATTGCAGCCTCAACCTTTTGGCTCAAGTGATCCTCCCACTCAACCTCCCTGGTAGCTAGGACCACAGGCACATGCCACTGTGCCTGGCTAATTAAAAAAAAATTTTTTTTTTTTTTTTTTTTTTTTTTTTTTTTAAGAATAGGTCTTGCTATGTTGCTCAGGCTGGTCTTGAACTCCTGAGCTCAAGTGTTCCTCCTGCTTTGGCTTCTCAAAGTGTTGGGATTACAGCTGTGAGCCACCACACTCGACCTTTATTTTTCTAATTTGCCATGAACTGAGACAACGCTTAACTAATACTAAGAAGTATATGTAAGTAAAAGTAGTTAGATATAGAACTCATTGAAGCTTAGTTATGGAATAAAGCAAGGATTGAAAACTCTGCGCACCAGGCATTTGTCATAAATGTGGAACACTGGCTGGTTATCTAAAAGAAAAATAGGTCGCCACTTACCATGCCTTTTAAAATACGGTGGATTAAATGAGACATGTCTGCAGCTGTTGCCTGTGTTACCTACCATCCGTATAGCAGCACAGCTTTGCTTGATGATTGGGCAGTGTGACAGTTACGTTAGCTGCCTTGGAATGATTCGAGGGTCCTCTAGTTATTTAATTTTTTGTAGAGAATTGAGATTCTTGGGGGTTTTCTGCATTAATTTTGAAGGCCTTTTGTTTTGTTTTGTTTTTCTTATTTAGAGACAGAGTCTCGCTCTGTTGCTCTAGGCTGGTGGACTAGAATGCACACAGTGGTGCATTCATAGCTCACTGTAGCTTCAAATTGCTGGGCTCAAGTAGTCCTTGCACCTCAGCCTTTCTAGTAGCTAGGACTACAGGTGCGTGCCACTGTGCCCGCCTCATTTTTAAATTTTTTGTAGAGACGGGGCCTCACTGTATTGCCCAGGCTGGCATTAAGCTCTTAGCCTCCTGCCTTGGCCCCCTAAAGCATTGGGATTACAGATGTGAACCACCAGGCGTGGCCAATTTTGAGATTTCTAAAACTCAGTTTTCTTTGGATTTAAATATGGTAAACAAAAATTAGTAATGACTATTATGCCATATTTGCATTGCATTTTATTTCCCAAATTAATTCTAGTGATTTCTAAAAAATTATTGAGATATAATTCATATACCATACAATTTACCCTTTTAAAGCATACAGTTCAGTGGTTTTAAATATATTCACAAAGTTGTGCAATCTTCACAACTAATTTAGTTTTATAATATTTTCTTTTCTTTTTTGAGATGGAGTTTTGCTCTTGTCGCCCAGGCTGGAGTGTGATGGCGCGATCTCAGCTCACTGCAACCTCTGCCTTCTGGGTTCAAGTGATTTTCCCTGCCTCAGCCTCCTGAATAGCTGGGATTATAGGCGTGGGTCACCACGCCTGGCTATTTTTTTTGTATTATTAGTAGAGACGGGGGTTTTTGCCATGTTGGTGAGGTTGGTCTTGAACTCCTGACCTCAGGTGATCTGCCTGCTATGCCACCATGCCTGGCTAATTATTTTGTATTTTCAGTAGAGACGGGGTTTTACCATGTTGATCAGGTTGGTGGCAAACTCCAGACCTCAGGTAATCTACCTGCCTTGGGCTCCTAAAGTGCTGGAATTATAGGCTTGAGCCACCACACCCAGCCAAGAAATGTATATTTAAGGATTGTAGCTCTTAGATTTAGGTCTTTGATCAATTTTGAGTTAATTTTTGTATACTGTGTAAGGTCCAACCTTATTCTTTGGCATGTGGATATAGTTGTCCATATGTTGAAAAGATTATTCTTTCCTGATTGAATTGCTTTGGCACCTTTGTCAATAACAATTGCCTTATAAAGTATGAGTTTTAAAAATATCTGGACTCTGAATTCTGTTCTACTGATCTGTACGTCTGTCCTTAAGTCATCACACAGTCTTGATTTCTGTAGCTTTGTAGTAAGCTTTGATATTGGGAATTGTGAGTTTTTCAGCTTTGTTATTCTTTTTCAAGATTGTTTTGTCTACTTTGGGTTTGTTGCATTTCCAATATAAATTTTAGAATCCACTTGTCAATTTCTGCAAAAATTCCAGTGGGGATTTTGATAGGGATTGCACTGAATAAGTAGATCAATTTGGGGAGTATTACTGTTTAACAATATTAACTCTTCCAACCCATGAATTTGGGGTGTCTTTCCATGTATTTAGGTCTTAAATTTCTTTTAACGATGTTTTGTAGTTTTCATTGTACTTGCACTACTTTTGTTAAATTTATTCCTAAGTATATTATTTGTTTTGGTTTAATTTATAAATGAAATATTTTAAAAATTTCATTTATGGATTGTTCTAGTGATTTCTTAATGGAGTGATATTTATACTTTGTTACTTAATTTTTTTCTCTCAAGATGCATCAGTCTCAAATAATTCTACAAGTAAAAGGAAATCTGAGTCTACCACTTGCAACTTAGTCAGAGACATAAGCAGAGTGGGAATTGGTCATGATGCTGCTACTGCATCTCCACTTCTTCTGGAAGATGTCTTTTGTGAGGATGATAAGGGAAAAATGATGGAAGAAGTAATGAGAATTTATGTAAAACAGCAGGAAAAACTAAACTTGATTTTGCAAAAGAAGCAACAACTTCAGATGGTAAAATTGTTACCTAAATAATATAGTACATTATGAAAAGCTACTTTTATATATTCTTTTTTTTCCTTACCCCCCAGACAGAGTCTTACTCTTTTGCTCATGCTGGAGTTCAGTGATGCGTTCTTGGCTCACTGCATCCTCCGCCTCTAGGGTTCAAGCAGTTCTCCTGCCTCAGCCTCCCCAGTAGCTGGGATTACAGGCATGCACCACCACACCCGCCTAATTTTTGTATTCTTAGTAGGGACAGGGTTATTGTCCAGGCTGGTCTCAAACTCTTTTTTTTTTTTTTTTTTTGAGACGGAGTCTAGCTCTGTCACCAGGCTGGAGTGCAGTGGCGCAAACTCGGCTCACTGCAACTTCCGCCTCCCGGGTTCAAGCGATTCTTCCGCCTCAGCCTCCCGAGTAGCTGGGACCACAGGCACGTGCCACCATGCTCGGCTATTTTTTGTATTTTTAGTAGAGACAGGGTTTCAACATGTTGGCCAGGATGGTCTTGATCTCTTGACCTCATGATCTGCCCACCTCGGCCTCCCAAAGTGCTGGGATTACAGACGTGAGCCACCGCACCCGGCCTGGTCTCGAACTCTTGACCTTGTGGGCTGCCTTCCTCAGCTTCCCAAAGTGCTGGATTACAGATGTGAGCCATGCCTGGCCTCCCTGTATATTCTAAGAAAAGTCAGGATGAGATACTACAAATATGCTTAAGATTATTGTTTTGTTTTACATTGATAAGCAATTTTAATATACTTTAAAAGTTTTTGAGAAAATAGTTTTTCAAAATAATTACCTGTATATCGAACTGTTAATGATAGCTGAATTTTAGATAATTTCTGTGCTATATTTTTTCTGAACTGAAAATTTTAACATGGTGAAAATAAAGTAAAAGTTATATTGTGATTCTTTACAGGAAGTAGAAATACTGAGTAGTTCAAAATCTATGAAGGAACTCACTGAAGAACAGCAGAATTTAGAGAAAGAGCTTGAATCTTTGCAGAATGAACATGCTCAAAGAATGGAAGAATTTTATGTTGAACAGAAAGACTTAGAGAAAAAATTGGAGCAGGCAATGAAGCAAAAATGTACCTGTGACTCAAATTTAGAAAAAGACAAAGAGGCTGAATATGCAGCACAGGTAAGAATTATTGTTTGTCTTAACGGTGCCCTTTCAGCATGGAAATGGAAACTGTTACATCTCTAATAAAGGAATTACCTTTCGTCAAGCTCAGTTTACTAAGCTTTTTCAGAATAGGTAATTCTGTTAAACATAGCTTTATGCTGTATTGTCCAAGATGATTATTTTGATGTTTATTGTTTTATTAGTTTAAACTTTTATTGAGTTATTATAGTTTAGCTATGTAAATTGCTAATCTCTAGCCCTCTGAATATCAAATGTTATATTATTTTAATGTACTATATGAGCTTTCAAATCTGCAAATTAACAGGAACTACTGCATGTTATGTTCAAAAGCACGGGAGCAAAAATAAGCAATCCCCTTTCGTTGATAGAATCTTACAATTTAAGGATCATGAACAAATAACTAACATGAGCAGGCTGTGATGAGTGGTGGAGTACTGGGCATAATGAACGTGCTGTAGGTGTTCGTTCCTCTTGTTCCTTTGCTTTTTCTTCAATTTAATGGCCTGTTAGATGTCAGATTAATAGTATTAGATACTTAACAGATGTAGTATACATGAAATAGTTCATTTTATAAAAAGTAATTTGAAAGTAGGTATTTGCTATGATATGAGGATTAAATGGAAAAGCAAAACAATTTAAATTGACGTGGCCTTTTAAATCACATAGTTGGCAGAACTGAGGCAGAGACTGGACCATGCAGAGGCCGATAGGCATGATCTCCAAGATGAACTCAGACAGGAGCGGGAAGCAAGACAGAAGTTAGAGATGATGATAAAAGAGCTAAAGCTGCAAATTCTGAAATCATCAAAGACTGCTAAGAATTAGAAACTGTTAAAGAGATTTATCTGTGTATTATTGACAAGGTTTTTTGTTTGTTGCTTGCTTTGGTAATTGAATTCTGAAGAACTTACCTGCATGAAGATAATTAGACATTCTACCCATTTGTAGATCAGAGAAAGTGAAGAGATTATATATTAGTACTTAAATTTTTACATTTTCCAAATGAATGAAAATGTATGTTTCTTTGTACTTTTTTAAAAAAAATCAGCTTAGTTACAATACCATATGGTTTCAACTAGTAGGTAATCTGCTTATATTTCTAATGTAAACTTAACAATTGTGTCCTTTTTAAAAGCTGCAGTATGTGATGGAAAATAGCTGTGGTCCATTTTGTTATCTGTATTTCAGACTCAATTTTAGATACAATGGTGGCTTTATATTTTAAGTATATAGAGTTACTCAAGGAGTTGAATCTCCCCTTTTCTCATTAACACAATCTTTCTAAGTTGATATAGTATACTAAATAACATGCACCAAATTTACTTTGTACTTTGTTCAGATTGTGGAATGAATTTCCACTAGTTTTCTTCTTTTTAATGTCTCTCCTAGGAGAAATTTTATTGAGGTTATAACATACCCCATGAGCACAGTGGGGAAGAATAATGTGTTGTTATGCACTGCTGCTAAACAGAAGAAGCAGTTGTAATTTGTTTTTTAGTTTAAATGTGGTTATATTTAGATTTTTTTTAAGCAGCAATTTTTCAAAAATGAAATGTAATAATTTCTGTACTTTTGTTTGTGTTAATAGTGGTGTGAAAGTATTAATGTTCTTAAGAAAACTGATACCATTGTTGTATATCAGTTTCTATACAATCCATAATCCTGTACAGTTTTTATATGTACTTATGAGTCTTGCTGAAATTTATATAATGAATTTGTCTTCCTTTAAGTTGTAAAATGTTAAACACCTTGAAGGTTATTTTGGACTTTTGTATGTTTAAATGTTAAGTCTTACCAAAATTTGCACGAATGGACCATTTTCAATTACTACTTAATATCAAAATCAGGAATTTACAGTCAACTGATAGTGTATGATAGATGCATATAGGACAGCTTAGTTACCTGCTACTAAAAGATTTTTAGGTAATTTTCAGAAGGTAAAGGAATTCCATAATTTTGGGAGGGACAACATCTTCTGCACTTTTTTTTTTTTTGCACAGAAAAGTCTGTCATTCTCTAATGGCAAATTTCATGTTAGTTAATTCTTGGCTTAAAATATATTAGGTAAAATTCTTAGATTTGTTTTTAAAGGAAGTTTCCCAAAACTCATTAATTAACATTATTATCCCATGGATTTTATGGGATAGTAAATGTTTTTCATGTTCTCTTATAAGGTACTATGTATGAAATTACTTAAGAGAACTATATTTATTTTAAAATAAATTAGCTAGGGTTAAGGTTAGATCCTATTTCCAGCATAGAAGGTAGATAATGGTGTAGAAAAAAATCACTAGATTGCCATTTAACCAGTTATTTTCATATTTTGCTTAATAGTACATATCCAAAAATAATTTTGTACTTCCCCAAATGTGTATTTACTAAATTGAGTATGACCTAAATGTGTATTTTCTATTTTCCATTTAAATTTTACTATACTAACACTAATTTTATTTGTTGATTCTTGGAATCTTCTCAAGGAGGAGCAAATATTAAAATGATATGCAGAAGCAAATTTTGAATTATTTGTGTCATAGCTCAGCTGAGTTTTGGAAGACAAACTCAAGCACCTATAATTTCATTGATATTTCTAATTTACTCAGAACCTTTCTGCTTTATGTTACCTAGTAAATGATAAACTAATTTGTTTCAACCCAAAACTTCTAAAATAAATTGCTTAATCCTTGAAATATGTTATTTAAAAATTCTTAGCAGTGCTTAAACACCATTAAATTATTATAAACTTGTAAGTCAGAATTGAGTAAGAAATATTTTTTTGTAGTCCTTCACATAATGAAAAGTTGCCACATGACTTTGTATAGTCTTCATTTTTCAGAAGATGCATTGATGTGCCATAGGTTTCTGTCTAACTTCCTTGAAAATAGTTTTTTAAGTCAATTGTAAATATACATATTATTAAAAGTAACTTTAAACTGCACCATATAGCTTGAAAACAATATAGAGATTTTGTAATACCTTATAAGTGGCCTCTGCTAAAATCTTATCCATATAAAACTTATTCTGTTCTTTGCATGCTTATTTTGTGTGTTGGTTGTTAGCTTAATGTTTGATTTGTTGTTAGTTTTTGTGTGCCAAATTCACCAGGCAAACAGATTTTTCCTCAGACTTCAAAAAATAATTCTTTTTAGGAAAAATGTAAAAATGTTTACTCTAAAAAGCTGCATTAAAGGAACACCTATAAAAAGTTTTGCTATTGCATCTTTAGAAGGAAGAAAGAATGTTAGCTTGGATGATGTTTAATTTGGGTAGTGATAGTTTCTATAGTCTAAACTTTATGAGAAAAGGGTACCAAGTCTATAAAGGTAATAAATATAAAACCTCCTGCTGTTATTGAGGAAGCTCTTCAACTACCCTAAATTTCACAAATGTAACTTATAATACTATGAAAAGATTTGACCAACAATTTACGTTTGTTGTGTGCTTTAGTTTTTGTTTAAGCATATTCTTTTGCTCGAATTTCTGTGTTCATGAGAGTTAGGGTGTTTTGTGCTTCTTGAACTAATTTTATAACATATTTAATATATTACCAGTTAAGATATAAAATCATTTGTACATAGTGAATTGTAAAGCAGCTATTAAAATAGGTGAAATAAAGTATATATTTGCAAGTTATCCATATCTTTTAGAAGTCATGACAGAACAACCAGTTTCTTTGCACATCAGTAGCTTCTGTTTGAAGGAAAGTAAAGTTGTAAGGAAACTCAAGTACTATCAAATGTGTCAAGGTATTTCCTTAGAATTAATTGCGAAGCTTGTACTGCAGATTTTTGATCAGCTTCTAAAATTTTCTCAATAAGACATATGTTTTGATTACTTAGGGAAGATTCCTCATTTTTATTTGTCCTTTATGCATTTAATCCACATGATAGGACATTCAAAATTAATATAAAGAAAAATTGTGCTCATACTGTACATCTGTTTCTGTGCTTGGAGCTACTTAATAGTTTTTAATCGAAGCTGTCAGCAATAAGGGACATATAACTGCTGTATTATACATCGTGGAATTAAATAGACAGAGCTTAATTTCCTTTTTCTAGTATAGGGTACTTAAGCATTTCCACTTTTGGAAGAAAAGCATATGAGTATTTTCTATTGCATTTTGTTTAAAAGGACAGGGTTTTTTTTTTTTTTTTTTTTTTTTTTTTTTTTTTTTTTTTTTTTTTTTTTTTTTTTTTTTTTTTTTTGTAAATCCTTTCATTTAAATGGCTTCTAAGCTGTATAATGTAATTTGGAGCCTATTTAGTAATAGAATTAAATGTCTTATGTAGTGCTACAATTTTTGAATTAGAAAGGGATCAGATGTAAAAAACAAAAAAAATTAAGCCCAGAAAACAAAATAGTTTATTAAATTCGTTTAATATAAAATGAATATAAGATTTTTTTCTTCAATATAGATACCTCACTTGAAAACAAAGAAAGCACAAAGTAGTTCTAGTAAACATGTCCTACAGAACAGTTGCTAAATGTAGGACATCTTTTGAGGAATTAGTTTGTGAGAAATAAAATATACTTGTTTTAACTATCCTGTTAGAAGTATTTGTTTTTCCTGATAATTTTAAGCCAACATAATAGTCTTAAATTATTTCTGAATTTCTAATCTGTGAAGGCAGTAAATGAAATATCTGTTCTGCAACTGTTGAAGCAAATAATTGACTACATTGACCATAATTAAATTTAAAATTTTGCCAATGATGTACAGTTTTATGGTTAAAGTTGCTGTGGTTGGTTGCATTACATGACACAGAAAACTGTCCTCTACCTCACGTGAAATAAATATTTTATATGGTTTTACTAAAAATAAGACTCATGTATCTGGTCACCTAGTTTACAAATTTTGAATTATATTTATTGAAACATGACATACTGTGCTCTGAGCTTATACCTCAATTGTATTTTGTGCTGTTTTCCATTTTCATGCCTTGTAAATAACTTGTATAGATTGTGGATCAAATTCTAAATAAAAACTTTTAATGCCAATGAAATTTGATTCAAGTCATTTCAGTATTGTGTGTCAGCTTAACTTTCTTGGTCCCTAAGATTGACATTTTCTCCTTTGTTCCTTTAAAAGTCTATTGTTTGTAGGCTAGGCACAATGGCTTATGCCTATAATCCCAGCACTTTGGGACGTGAAGGCAGGCAAATCACCTGAAGTAAGGCATTCAAGACCAGCCTGCCCGACATGGTGAAACATTGCCTCTACTAAAAGTACAAAATTAGCTGGGTGTGGTGACCCATGCTTGTAATCCCAGCTACTTGGGTGGCAGGAGAATTACTTGAACCCAGGAGGCAGAGGTTGCAGTGAGTCAAGGTCGCACCATTGCACTCTAGCCTGGGTGACAAGAGCGAAACTATGTCTCAAAAAAAAAAAAAAAGTCTATTATTTGTTACACACTAACTTGAAAAACCTGTTTATTATAAAATAGGGAATTTTATGCAATATTTCAGGTGATGAAATAGCAGCATTATGTGATTATTTAATAATTTTTAGACTTTTGCTTTAACGTTTTTTTCACTACCCTTATTAAATCCCTGGTATAAGTTATCTATTGCATAACAAATTACCTTAAAATTTAGCAATGTGGCTCTTACCTGTAATCTCAGTGCTTTGGGAGGCTGGGCTGGGAGGATCGCTTGAGTCCAGGAGTAGCAGTTTGAGGCTGCAGTGAGCTGTTATATAATCACACCACTGCACTCCAGCCTGGGTAACAGAGTGAGTAGAGAGATCTTGTCTCTAAAAACAAACAAAAGGCCAGGCTTGGTGGCTAACCCCTGTAATCCAGGCACTTTGGGAGGCTGAGGTGGGCAGAACATGAGGTCAGGAGTTCGAGACCAGCCTTATCAACATGGAGAAACCCCATCTCTACTAAAATTAGAAAAATTAGCCGAGCGTGGTGGCTCGCTCCTGTAATCCCAGCTACTCTGGAGGCTGAGGCAGGAGAATCGCTTGAACCCTGGAGGTGGAGGTTACAGTGAGCTGAGATCGTGCCACTGCACTACAGCCTGGGCGACAGAGCAGTCTCAAAAGAAAAAAACTAAGCTACTTATAAATTGTATCGTGGTGTTATCAATAAGGGAAATTAAAAAAAATTCAGAAACAGCTTGCTGTTTTGGCTCAGGAGCTCTTACAAGGTTGCACTTAGCGTGCTACACAGGGGTGAAGTCTGAGAGCTCGATTGTACCGAAGGCTTTGCCTCCAAGCTCACTTACGTGGTTGCTGACAGACGCTCAGTTGATAACTACGTGAACCTGTCCATGGAGCTGTTCATGAAATGACTGGTTAGCCCCAAATGAGTGATTGAGAAGAAAATGTGATGCCACAATTTCTTTATGACCCTGACTGTAAGTCACACACTGTCCCTTTTGCCTTGTTTTATTACAGGACAAGGTGATATACGGTTTGAATAACAGGAGACAGGGATCATTAGAGACTACCTTAAGGTCTGGTTAAATACCCTCTGAATTGTAATTAAATGTTTTTTGTGGTAAGATATACGTAACAATGTACCGTTTTGGCCATTTTTAAGTGTACAATTCAATGACATTAAGTATAGTCACAATGTTAGGCAGCTATCACCATTATTTCCAGCACTTTTTCATTATCCCAAACAGAAACTCTGTACCTATTAAACAGGAACTCCCTAATGCATATCTTCTCCCCCAGCCCCTGATGACTTCTACTTTCTGCCTCTACGAATTTGCGTATTTTAGGTATGTAAGTGGAATAAAAATACTTGTCCTTTGTGTCTACATAGCTTGTTTCATTTATCATGTTTTCAACATATATCCGTGTGTCTCATGTCTCAGAATTTCACCTCTTTTTATGGCTGAATAGTATTCCATTGCACGTTTATGTCACATTCTGTTTATCCAACTGTTGATTGACACATTGGTTGTTTGCACCTTTTAGCTATTGCAAATAACACTGCTGCGAACATTGGTTTAGTTATCTACTGAAGTCCCTGCTGTCTCTTCTTTTGGATGTATACCTGGAGTAGAATTGTTGGATCATATGGTAATTTTACATTTAACTTTTTGGAGAACTGCTTAACTTTTCCACAGGATTGCATCATTTTTCATTCCGACCAGGAATGCATGAGAGTTACAGTTTCTCTACACCCTTGCCAACATATTATTTTCCATTTTAGCTGTATTAGCCATCCTATTGGGTGTGAAGTGTTATTTCATTTGCATTTCTCTAGTGACTAATGTTCAGCGTCATGTGCTTTGTGTATTTTTGGAGAACTATCAAGTCCTTTGCCCATTTAAAAAATTGTGGTTGTTGTTGTTAAGTTGTAGGGGTTCTTTATATATTTTGGATATGAATTCCCTCCCCCCTTTTTTTGAGACAGTCTTGTACTGTCACCCAGGCTGGAGTGCAATGGCACAATCTCAGTTCACTGCAACCTCTGCCTCCCGGGTTTGTGCGATTCTCCTGCCTCAGCACCCCCAGTAGCTGGGATTACAGGTGCACACCATCACACCTGGCTAATTTTTTGTATTTTGTTATAATTCGTTGTTGTTGTTGAGACAGTCTCACTATCATCCAGGATGGAGTGCAGTGGCGTGATCTCGGCTCACTGCAACTTCTGCCACCCGGGTTCAAGAGATTCTCCTGCTTCAGTCTCCTGAGTAGCTGAGATTACAGGCGCCTGCCTGCACCTGGTTAATTTTTGTATTTTTAGTAGAGAGGGGGTTTCACCATGTTGGCCAGATTGGTCTCGAACCCCTGACTTCAGGTGATCCACCCGCCTTGGCCTCCCAAAGTGCTGGAATTACAGGCGTGAGCCACCACGCACAGCCAATTTTTTAATTTTTATTTTTAGTATAGATGGGGTTTCACTATGTTGGCCAGATTGGTCTTGAACTTCTGTGATCCGCCCACCTTGGTCTCCCAAAATGCTGGGATTAGGGCAGGCGTGGTGGCTCATGCCTGAAATTTCAGCACTTTGGGAGGCCAAGGCAGGTGGATCACTTGAGGCCAGGAGTTGAAGACCAGCCTGGCCAACATGGCGAAACACTGTTTCTACTAAAAATACAAAAAAAAAAAAAAAAAAAAATTAGCCTAGAGTGGTGGCACACACATGTAACCCCAGCTACTCAGGAGCTTGAGGCAGG